GCCATGAATAAATACAAACATACATACAAACATACATACAAAGGTGCAAACATACATGCAAACAAACATTCGTACATACTAAAAATTTGTATATACACGTACAGATACAAAAACACAAGAGGAGACATGCAAACAAATATTTGCCAATCAATCCACTTATTGCATTCGTTGTCTGGACAACTACAAATGTTTGTACATGCAAACATACATCTACACGTACAAACACACATATATGCACACATACATACATACAAACATACACCCATCCATACATACATATTGTACAACACACATGCTACAAACACATAATTGCACGCAATCACACACACACGCACACACACACATATATAAAAATATATATATAATATATATAAATGCACAATCACACAAACATGTACACACAAGTACACACAGACATACAAATATATACATACATACATACATAAATAGGCAAATATATACAATACAATGTCTTCTCAAACATTACCTACTTACATGCATCTATGGATTTTTCTTTTTTTTTCTTATTAGCAAAATGTGAAAGGAAAGGCTTTGCTGATAGAAAAATATGAATGGATGAACGAATGAATGAATAAATAAATGAACAAACGAACGAACGAACGAATGAAAGAATGAAGTATGAATGAATGAAAGAATGAATGAATGAATGATTCAACTAGAAGTATTTGCATCCTACTTATTAACGTTACACAGCCACTCACAATTCTATGATAGGTTGTAATATTTTAGTAATTTCATAATTTTTTTTTCAAAATGGGTTATAATGATAGTTGTGATGATAACGATGATGATGATAACGACGATGATGATGACAAATCAAAGGAAGGCTCTAATTAAATCTCTCCACTTCTCTTTTCAAACTCAAAATATCTCTTACTCACCATGAAGAATTATTAATTTGGACATCTGCCAAATGTTGCTTATCTATATTTAACAGCACACACACAAACACACACTCTTTCTCTCTTTCTTTCTCTCTCTCACCCACACACCTACAAACACATACACACACACATGCATATACACACAAACACACACACACACGCATATATATATATATATATATATATATATATTTATATAATTCTCTTTTTCTCTTTCACACACACATAAATACATACACACTTTCTCTCTCTATCTCACACACATGCAAACACACAAGCACATTTTTAGCTTCGTTTTAGGGTTGATTTTTTGTTTGTTTTTCAAAGTACTTTTTCTTTTTTTCAACTGCAAGGCTAACTTTTTAACTTTTGTGCATAATAGGCTAGAGATGGGGTAGGATTTCTTTTAATAACTAAATAAAAAACTTTCAAAAAAATTTTTTGTCATTTTTTTCATCAAATCCTGATTTGAATTTATTAGTTTGGAATCAAGAACTCGATTAGAGTATTTTTACAAAATAATTATTATATATATCATGAAAAAGAATTAATTAATTTTTAGTAATATTTTGATGAAATGTTTTAAAAATTTTTAAAAATTAATAATTCTTCAAATATGAAATTTCATCCAAACTCTTCAAAAATGAATTCTTAATTGAAAGTTTAATCTCCAACAATGAGCGTTAATATCTGATGACGATTTCTACATAAATCAAACGCACACACACACGCGCGCGCGCACACACACACGCGCACGCACACACACAAACAAATTTGCAAGGAAGTACAGAATTCAAAAACACTGCCTACTAATTCAAATTTGTATAAATGAGGCAAAGCCAAAACTTCCTTGTGTCCACTGTGTAATGTGTTCTCCAAACAAACAAGCATGTAGTGTTAAACTTTGGTTCGGCATTGGCTCTGAAGACATGATAAAGACAGACATGATAAAGACAGACATGATAAAGTACTGTCGTTGATGATTGAATAGTTGAGGTTACAGGCTCCAAATGACTGCTGTTTATGGGAATGAAATGACATCCGTCCAATGTCGTGCCTATTCAACACGCCACTTCCGGACATTGCCATATTGCAGGTCAACAAGATTGAGGTATTGGACCTGACGATATGCCATGAAACTAAATGCTAATACTTAATGCTATTTAAATATAACACTCGTCATTGGCAATGAGGATGGGTGGATCGTACATTTGATTTGATATAATTTGATTATTTTAGTCTATTTTATTTAAAAAAATAGGGTATAGGGATTTTTGGGAACGTTGTCATAAATGGAAATTCGGGAGGGAATCGAAAATGAAAAAAAGATTGAAGAGAAATGGGAACAAATTTCAATTCCTGTTCACCTCAGCATCAAAGTCAATCTCAACAACGAGGTTGAAGGCACAGCAGAGATCCAATAAAAACCCCATCGCTGAAGTCTATAACGTTCCAATACAATCACTCAGGACTGTAATATCCGCTCTTTAATTTCTTTTTTAATTAATCATAAAGATGGAAGTGTGCCTCTAATTAAAATCGTTATTAATTACAGAGCGGGAATGCGGATTTTATTAGAGATGATTTTTCCCTTT